TATATAGGGTCACTGAAGTCTGAATCGACTTAACGACGGAGTAAGTTTTGGGATAATGTAATAGCATAGATTAAAGCTCAGGAAACCATGAATTGCATGTAAAACCTATTTAAGTGGGGTGGGCAAAAGGTCATCAATAACACAGGGCTTGATTTCCTTGTTCATGAGATCCTGGTTCGTTTGTTTGTTTGTTTTGTTTTTTACAGGACCATTTGCTATCTGGCTTTTATTAGTTGCCTCCTCCATTAGTATTATTCCAAAAGAATAAGGAAGGTTTGTTTTGTTCGCCACTCTATGGTCAGCCATTCAAGTCTTACTCTATAAAAAGTGTTCATCCATGACTTGCTATTTCCAGGCACAAAGGTTTTATTCTGTTAGTTTGCTTACGAATGGGTTAACATTGCTTGCAATGTAAAATCATTTGAATGACACTGGTTTACATAAGAATGGCTTCTTTGACCAGGACTATTTGAAGTGACATGCTGCTGTTACTGCTGTCATCTGCAGGTTTTGCCTCTCCTTTCCCAGGCCTACTGCAGACAAGTGTCTCCTCTTCTACATTTCTGATGAAATCACCAGGTACATTTTTGTTGGACTTTTTGCTCTAGATCTCTCTTGTTTTCGTTCTCTTCCCACGGTCACCAGAAGATCTTTTTCTAATACTTTCCTCCTTACATTTTTGCTCTCGTTATAATTTGTTATGGTTAGCTGTCATCAAGTCACCCTTGACGCATGCTGAGCTCACTCTAACGTGATACAACATTGACTGGTCTTGTGCAGTCTTCATGATGGTTGGTATCTCTGATTCTATTCTTGTGACTCCTGTGTCATTCCTCCTCACTCACTGAGGATTTCTTTAAATTTGGCTGATCTTCTAATTCAGTGGTTCTCAACCTGTGGGTCGCGACCCTTTTGGGGGTCGAATGACCCTTTCACAGAGGTCCCCTAAGACCATCGGAAAACACATATTTCCAATGGTCCTAGGCATCGAGCCACCACTCCTCTATCCGTCTCCAGGCTGGTCCACCAACATGCAGATACACCCATATACGAGTGCCCAGCATGAAGACTGTTACCCAAGCTCCACCATGCTTCAAGACACCCGTTCATTGATTTGTCATTAGCAATAAATATTTCACAATATAAAATTACATATTGTTTTTGTGATTAATCACCATGCTTTAATGATGTTCAATTTATAACAATGAAAATACATCCTGTATATCAGATATTTACATTACGTTTCATAACAGTAGCAAATTAGAGTTATGAAGTATCAATGAAAATATTTTTTTTTATTAAATCAATTTATTGGGGCTCATACAATTCAACACAATACATAGAACAATTGTGTAAAGCACATCTACATTTGTTGCCCTCAAAAATAATTTTATAGTTGGGGGTCCCCACAACGTGAGGAACTGTATTAAAGGGTCGCGGCATTAGGAAGGTTGAGAACCACTGCACTAATTGACCATGAAAAGAAAATATTCACAGGAAGACTGACAAAAATATCACAATACATGGAGAAAAAAAAGTCAAAGTCAATTATTTCATACTTCTTGGATAAAAAAAAAAACATGCCCTTGCAATCAGAAGTCAAAGAATGGAATAATATATTGCATTGAAAAATCCGCAAAAGATTTCTTTCAAGTTTAAAAAAAATGAGGGATGAATAAAATACACCAGCTCCAAGTCTTGATCTTTTCAATCACCTCATTGCTGCCTGTGAAAGCTGAGCCTTAGGAAAGGACAACACAGAAATGGAAAGGAGAAATGATTCTTCTTCCCGTTACTAGAGTTGACAGAGAAGATGTGTTCTTGGCCTTTCTATTTCAATTAGAACTTGTTTTCCTAAAG